AAATCTTCGTCGATAATACATTGGAAACAGTCACGCGGAGTATAGCAATTTATTTATTATTATTTATTGTTAGGTGAGTTTGTCAATGTACTCGTTCGCTTGATTGTAAAATGATGGACAAAAGATATCGCCATTGATTTACAGAATCAACCTTTTATTTCAGTCATTGCGCATCACCAATCTGAATTATACACTTATATGTATGTACATATGTATCATTGAGGTAATCTATCCATATGGTACAGGAGTTATTTTGGTTATAAACAAAAATCTAGGGGGGGAGATTCTATTTTCTGCAAGGGTCGTTTTCGCTTTGTCTCCCCGTTTTTTACAAAATTAAATAAGAAAACGGGCGTACAGTAAAAAATACCTTAGAAGAAATACATGACTGGAGTTAGTTACCTATAAGAAAGGGGAATCCAATCTTGAAAAACGAAACAAACCTCGCACCGAATGAAATCAAAGATAATTAAAGCAGTACAATGCTTACGTATTCACAAAATTTGAAATGACATAAACTGACGACAATTTACGACGGCAAGTACTACTATGATCGATCCATAAACCACGGTTTCCCATCATTTGTAAGTCGTTTCGTGAGAATGTCGCAACCAGTTTCGGTAACAAGTAGCGTGTGTTCGAACTGTGCCGACCACTGGCCATCCGCGGTAACTGCTGTCCAAGTATCAGGCCACATCTCGTCTCTCCATGTACCTTGAGATATCATTGGTTCTATAGTGAAACAGTGTCCTGGTTTCATGACGCCCACAGCCTTGTTTTCTATAAAGAAACGAAAGCAAGTTAAGCTGTAACAAACGATCTAACGTAACAACTACAAGTAAAGATATTTACTAGCATAATGGGGTACGCTTGGCGCGGTATGGAATAAACGATGAATTCCATGACCGCAATAACTACGTACTACACTGAATCCATGCGCTTGTGCATGTTTCTGTATAATATTTCCAATTTCCCTATATTTTTCGCCAGGTCGTACGATATCTATAGCTTTCGATAAACACTCATGCGTAACTTCGACTAATTTTCTTACTTCGGGTTTCACATTACCGACTAGAAATGTTTCGTTTAAGTCACCATGAAAACCATTATGATACACAGTTACATCAACTGCAAGAAACAAGGATTATAAGAGTTTTCTTTTTTTTCGTGCTTATATTAAATCTACGTTTAAGTATATAGTACCATTGCAAATATCTCCATCTTGGAGTGGTCTGGTGTCAGGAATACCGTGACAAATCACTTCGTTAACAGAAGTGCAACAACTAGCTGGAAATTGATAATAATTCAGCGGAGATGGATAGCAGTCTCTTTCAATACAAGCCTCATGAACTGCCCTATCTATCTCTGCTGTAGTAACACCTACATCACAGGTACGTGCAGCCTCGTCCAAAACTTCTCGCCCAAGCTATGGGAATAATTTTCATTTATGTTTTCTTCTTCGTTAAAAAAAATACACGTAAACATACAATTAACAAAAAAATTGTATGTACAAATTTCTGCAAGTATAAAGAATTAACGCATCACCGGAACAGCATCGGTCACTCCGATTGGAGTGGTCGCCGGACGTGTTAAAGAAATTTCTTGATACTTCCCGTAATTGTTATACCTTGCAAGCCACTCGCATTCCCTCGATTTCTTCGTCGTCAAGAATTTTTATTTGCGCAGAACCTCGCATTGACTGCTCGCTCACAGACAATCCAGTTGGATGTGTAGCATAATCTGGACGTTTGATATGTTCAGGTACCTCTCGACGAGATTCCCTCTTGTGAGGACGTAATTTGCCAGTGTAATGATAAAAAGGCCATGGATTGTACTCATTAGATGATTTATCACCACCTGTTCCCTCTAGTAAAAATGACATTTATATATGTGTGTATATTTGATTAAATTTTTATTACAGTGACACATTTCTTTCTTCCATTAATGCAAATACTCTTTTCTACACAATCATTAATTGCTAAACTCACTTGCTAACTGGTGAATGACTTTGTGTGTTTTCCAACTTCGTTTGAAACAATCCTGAAACGAAATGTAAATATAGGTAAACAGGTATAAACCTGCACGTGAGATAGTTTTCTCTTTTTTACAATGTCAACCATTTAAACGTTGGCCTGAGTACACAGATGCATAAAATTTAAATTAACAATACATACACGGTAAGAGTGGTTATACCGAGGCTGTTTCAAAAATTAAACATGTACAATCGAAACTTAATGTTTAAATTATCATTAACCAATGCCACAGGATGTGTACATAATATTTAGTACATGTATTTATCCCTTCAACTAACCTTCAAATATATAGGAGGTGCTTACCTGAGTGCAGAAATAAGAGCCCTGTATCCCAAGTTTCAAGCAAGTTGGACACTGAAGACTGGCTATAGTTTTACATCCCGGGGTCTCACACATACCAAAAGCGAGTGCCATTTTCGCTGAAATTTTTTCCGGAATTTCCGTGTGACGTGACTGAATGAACGAGGCACAAACGGGAAGAAGTAATTCGAGACGTCCCTGTACTGTTTTACCGACGGATTTGTCTGTTAATTCGTCACGGATGACGCAACCATTGACTACAACATTGAGGTCACAGACGAGGTATATGAATAGACCACGCATCCAATGTATTTTTTCGGCCATGGTAATACAGTCCTCAAAACCGTACCATTTTCGTGTCATATCCTGTCTTACCGATTTTGCGACCGCAGCACTATTAGTGGTGAGAATTAAAATTAAAAAAATATGAACAGTGTTGCCAGCCAGAACTATTTCGAGAATTATTTATTGAATTTGATGGTACTTCATCAATGAAGGAATATAAATAGCGAATTTAAAACAGCGACTAATGGAAATTGGAATGAAAAATTTAATACATATTTGACTATTAACATCTATTTGAGAGTATTAGAAAAAGTTAATTAAAATATGACATTTTTAAAATCTCGGTTGCCACATTTCTGTTACCGACTCGACAAAACTAGCAAAATAAATGAGTTAGAGGATTTTTCGTATGTTTCGTATCCGCCCGAGCTCAACCGACCTTGTCTGTGGAATGTTACATCTACATCGAAAATTATTGACTTAAACTGAAAGTTTATAAAACTCGTGAAAATTACTAAATAATGTCTAGAAATATTCAAGAAATAAAATAATTTACTTCAAATGAATTGTTCAAATTCTAAAATAATGCATTTCGATGATATTCTTG